GCGCCCCTATGGCACTCATCAGGGGCTTGCGTTTCTGCAATCACAGCAGTAGAGACCCCATGCATACGGGGAACCGGTTTGAAAGCAACGGGACACAGCCAAAACATTCCCCGGTTTCCCCTGTGTCAACTGCAAGGTGGGATGTCCGATTTAAAAACCAGACGCAACAGAGTAAAACCAATCAGCTCCAGCTCCCCCTTGCGAGACGCTCTCGCTCGCTCTCTCTCTCTCTCTCTCACACCGTGCCTGACGTTGCACTTCTGCGGCTGTGCCTCGAAGGGCACTGGATGCCCGGTTGTTCAGTTCCTCACCGGCCAGGCGCTTCGGCACTACAGTGAAGAAGATCAAGAGCCCAGAGTACTTAGAATGGCTACAGGCGGCTAAGCATCACAAGTAGCAAAGGCCTATATCACAATTGGATGAACGCAATCGAAAGCGAATCGTGCAGGCAGTGGCAGGATGTAGCATGAGGGCGAGTGGGAATCGGCCTGTTCACGAAAATGGGGTAGCTGTAGATGCTGCGACTCCAGATGTAGATGCCCGTGAACTGGGACTGACTGAGTCGTTTGCCGTTTGCTGCATGTCTGAAGGCGTACTTCATCGTCAGACTGTGTGACTGTCGCTGTTGCTCCTGGAGAGAAGTTAGTTTGCCCCTCGGTATGCTTTGAAAGTCGAGCTTTCGCTTCGCCCTCACAGATTTGTATCAGGTCGCATTGTCAAGGATGAACTGCTCCACCATCTCCGGCTGTGTCTCCGTAGCTGGCGCAGGCTCATCCCAGGCCTTCACGCAGCTCAATCTTGTGACTCCGACTTATGCATCTCAGCATCTGCACGTCTGTCACTACTTCACGAGCCAAGTCTACACCCTGGAGCCAAACCCAGAGGCCATGTGTCCTCGAACTCCTTCCGCTGACTGGAGACCGCCTCGTCCGGAAACTCGCTGTCCTGACGAGGTTTGTGCACAAGTGTCTTTTTAGGGAAGACCTCCCAAAGCCAAGTCAGGCACTGAGGAGGGCCGGGTCGTGGGACTAGGGCCCCGAGCGGGTCGTGGGATGCACTGTTCTACTTCTTACAAACAATTTCTTCGCGTTGCATGGTCTCTCTCTTGCCAAGCTGTGAAACCGGAAAAAGCGCCCCCGGGTGCGCGCGCGCTCCACCTGCCCCTGCCGTCGCCGAGGCAACCCCCGAGCCCACACCAACCGTTCAGGCTCGCACCTCCGCCTCCCCGCATGTCCGAATGCGGCCCGCCCCCGGCACACGTGCCCTTGTTACACCCAATGACGGAGCCATCCTGTGCAGCATATGGTCAAAATCTCAGACAAAGACAAGGTGAGATCTGCCAAGCATTCAACGGACAGCCCACCGTGCTAGTCGACGGCCGAGCATCGAGTGGCACTTCCTCGTCCTCGTCGTAATTCGGGGCGTCCCTCCTGACTGCTTGCACAGCAGTTCTCTCGTCAGGCCATGCCAGTGTGAAGAGCTTCTGACACCTTGTTTATGCTTGCTCGCAAGCTTGCTCAAGAGGTTGCGTGGTATCCCCTGACGTGTAATCGAATCCGTCGAGCCGCTTTTCTCGGACCCGCCGAGGTTCTCGACGTGAAGGCATCCTGCGCGTGGCGGCGTAGTGCAAAGAAGTCATCTTAACATCGCGTCTTAACATCGCGCGTAGCAATGACAACAAAGGTGAAATAGGCATCCTAGAGACACCTAGAGACAGCAAGCAGCTGAGAGCACAGAGACCGCCACTGGGCTACGGATCTTCGAGTCGAGCCTTTGCAGCTTCCCGATGCGTCCGACACAGGCAGCACTGGGCTCACGTGTGCCATAAAGACTGCCTTGATCCAGGACCTGCAGCTGCAAAGTCCAACAATGACGTGTGAACTGCCTCGCGTCTTGTTACAACCTTAAATTCTTCGCCCCAAATGAGGAATTGCTGAAGAAGCATAAAGACAGCTAATCCTGTCGCCCCTCATCCTCAAATGTCCGCACATGTCACCCCCACGTCAAGCCAGCCCGAAGCCAGAACCAGGGTGGGGGCCTAGCCCCAAACACCTGTTGTCATCAACATGCTGAACACCCGGGGGAAGAGGACAGGCAATGCAGCCGCGACCTTGCGCTGCACCGACGGCGCTGAGGATCGTAGCAAAGATGCAGCCCGTGCCTGGAGATCTCTCACACAGACGAAATGTCGGACACTCAGATCTTAATATGCAACCAGGCACCCACACGCAGACAAGCACGGACACATCCGCCCGCACTGACAGATACTTACACATGTGGTCGTACGCATGTATGCGCATTAATATATATATATATATATATNNTATATATGTGTGTGTGTGTGTGCGCGGCACAAGAGAGTCAAGCATGTCCATGTCAAGCCAAAAGGCCGGCACGCGACCCGGTTCAATATTTTGCGACCATACTCAATGTATCTCAATGTTGCAATGCTGCGGGTCGCTGGGGTCTGACGCTGCTCGCATGCGGGGATGAAAGATGGCAAGCATCAGGGCGTTTGCCCGTCAGAGTAGTTCGAGCATGCAGTCGCAGCCCATACGCACGTACGGACTTACAAAAACAAATGATTAAACGGCTATACACCCACAGATAAACTCACGATACTCACTCTGCAGTTGCAGTTCACTCGTGTTCGGTGCACGCAAGCCCTTCAAGGGCATGAATGCACATCCAGTCTACCTGTGAAAGTGTTACATACACGTGACATGCGTAGAGCAAACATGCAATACATGTGTGTATGTTGTGTTAGCCCTCCCGGTGCAGGCAACCAGGGGATTAAACAGAGGTGTGCACATGCGTACGTACGCTTTGCAATTACGGACGTTCCAGAAACTAGGGGGTTTACAGAAAGACCCAGTGTGAGAGTGATAGACTGATAGGCAGCTACGTATCGTCTGAGACTGCACGGCATATCTTATCATATCTTCAGCCTCCTGGCTTAGCTTGTTTGTATCGTAAGTGCGGCATCCTGCTACCAAGTCACATTCAGGCCGTTGTCCTGTATAAAGCTCTCCACCTCCTGACATGCACTTCACGGAGAGATGACAGCGCAGGGGCTCACAACGGAGGCGTGTCTGGCTGGATGCAGACCTGACAATCCATCTTTGCGACAATGCATGGCTCCAAGCCCTTCAAAGGGGGGGGACAACAAAATAAATAAAAACAATCGATGCTTCGCCCGTGAGGGGTCTAACAGGGTGCGAGTCGGGTCTCGTCTGCTTGCGCCGACATCTGTGCTCGGTGAAGTCCTCAAGCGCGCAGGCATCAGCAGGTTCTTCACTGAGGGTTTCGGGCTCAACAAGGTGCAGCGGACTCAACGGTTGGAACAGCACGGAATGTGCCCAAAACAAGCCAAAGACAATACACCTATAAGTCTATAAGCCCCACATCATCCCTCGAGAAGCCGTGGCTCGACCGATGCATCCAGCATTCGGATCTCTGCAAGTGAAGAGGCTGCCCTGGCATTAGCATCAGAGTTTGGATGTTGCTCGGAATGTGATCTCTCTTCTACGGGTGCAGTCAAGACATTTTCCACAGTGAACCCTCCATAGTTGAACTTCTTGGAAAGGCAAGTCAATGTCATGGACAGAACGACCTCTTAGCGGAAGTCATTAAGTGCTGTTCGTTTCGCCCACTTGCCACCTGGTCCAGGACCTGGCGCTGCACCCAAGAAGCTGCCCCGCGAAGCGCCTGTGCAGCTCGCTCGTCCAAGCGGTTGTCCTTGGACCCATGCGAGATCACAAGCAGCACGACGGACAGTACCAAGACAGCCAGGCGGCCGCAATAAAATCTTCCACTTCGTATTCGTCAAGTGATGGCGCATGACGCACTGCCTCTGCAAGGCTTAGTTGCTGGCCCGTTAAGCAATCTTGCAGCCAATGCGGATCACTGAAGTACACGGCCGAGCAGCTAGAAGTGCAGGATCCATCTGCTTCTGCGCTTTCCCGATTCGGCCGATGCCTCGTTCGCCACTCTTGCAAATCCTTTTGAACAAGAGACTTCCAGGTGGTCCCGGAACTTCTTCGTTCAAAGCCTCTGGATGCAACTCAGAGGCAGCCAGCGCTCGGTTCACGGCAGCTCCGTAGGCTTCCCTGCGACGAGCAGCATCCAGCAGCTGCCGCTTCAAAAGAAATCCGCGTTGTGCCACTTGCAAAATCACTACGGCCTGCTCCAGCACGTGATGTTGCACAGCAGGAGGGGCGCCTGATGACACGGCTCGAAACTGGCACTTCAGCATGCATTACAAGATCTCTTCGAAGACTTCCACCTACAGCAGGCAGGAAGTTCCATCGCGTGCGGAAAGGCGCTGGCATTTCGACACCCCCCCTTTCGACTGCGTCGCAGCGCAGGCCCAGGAGGCTGCGCAAGTCGTGCGGTGGATTATGCCTGTTCTGCCCACCCGCTTAAGTGACCCGGTCGCACTGCAGGATTCAGCCTCTGAGGCTGCAGTTGCAAAGCTGGTTGGCACTGGCATGCAACAAGCAGAATACACGGCAAAGCAGAATACCCTATACCAGATACCAGACTCTTGGCATCTACACAAGTCAACCCACACAGTTCAAGTGCCGAAAGCCGGACGAGGAGAGATAATCCGCGTATTCGTGTGAAATATCGAAGAAGCACACAGCCAGCAAGAAACCCCTCCTCTCAGCGCTTCTGCTGCCCGCTCATTCAAGTCGTTGTCTTCCACGAAGAACTCGATTTCCTGACACAGATTGGTCCATGACAGCTCTTCCCAAATCCCGAAAAGAAGTAGAGCAGCAAACAATGCAAACATCTGCTCAACTACCACTGGATTTCAAGCCGGGGATCATCCCTCGTCGGATAGGCAAAAGATGCTGCCGTTACAGGAGCCTTCGTAGCAGCCTGCGGGAGGTCTTCCAACAGATGCCGCAACATGTCACAACCACAATAAAACCAATACTTATAATATGGCTCCGAAGTTGTTCCTGGTGCCGTGCTGGCAGATCCCACATGTCGTTCTAGCAGCCATGCGCCGCACTCCTGCGAATGCATCTCCTGCAAGACACGAGGTGTTTGTCGAACATATGATACACCAGATGGATGACCTGTTTTCTACAGTTACAATGTGGGAATTTTGCTCTGAAACTTCGCTTTTCCTCTAGCTTGGTCAAGGGCCAGCCTGCGCTCGGCTGATACGCGAGAGGCAGCCTCCATTTGGATCGCGACAGCTGCGAAGGCTTCCCTGAGCGAGACGGTCCCCGTTCAAACCCCAACTCTGGCTTCCAAAGCCTGTCCCGTTTAGTATCCGAACAGCTGCAGCTCCGATTGTATTCATTAAGGAAATTAAGGGTGATCTCGCGAGCAACATCTTTTCTGAAACACTTCGCTTGCGCCAGCTTTACTCCTGCATGCGCCTGCTCGAGGACCTTCCGCTGCACTAGCGATGGTACAGAGCGAAGAGCGGCTGCTGCTTTCCCGCTGAGGCAGTTTGTATCTGAGCACAAGCTGGTTTCAGCAGCTTCCAGCAGCTTGCTTGTTGCACCTAACTTCTGACATGAAGTAGCACGCAACTCCCATAAAAAAAAAAAAAAAAAAAAANNAAAAAAAAAAACACACACACACACGCCTCAGGCTAAGCCTGAGATCAGCTGGGTCTCAAGTTCTAGTGATGTGCTTCCGAGTGCCTCGTGAAGAATTGTGGCGAGGATTCTGAAAGGACTCCCACGGCGTGCAGGATCCTACAGTGCATCCAAAACACTGATGAAGTCCTCCACTGACGCCTGGTGCAAGAACGGGAAAAGCTGCTTAGCTTCCAGTTGCCATGGCCTTGCTACCTGTGGTTTACACGAAACTCACGGGCTCCGGCTCTCTGGCAAAGATCACGCCTCATGTGGATGTGGGGCACCCCTGCGCAGCTTCTCCGCCTGCCGGGTCCGCGGATCGCTGAGTGCCCTCAAAAGCCCTCGAAGACTCGAAGCTCCCTCGCCCCAGTCCGAGCCCCGGCCCCGGCCTTGCGAATGCGGCCCACGCATCCCGCAGAGGGATCTCTGCAGGTCCGCAGACTTCCCCCCTGACAGCGCACACGGCCTACGTGGCTCTCACAAGCAGACCAGTTCTCACTATCAGCTCGCTCCTCCAGGACGGCACGCTGGATGCTCCCGGGCGCTTCGCGCAGCAAAGCTGCCTGGGTGTGGCTTGGTTTCGACTCCGAGTCTCGTACTTGCTGCAGGCTACCCAAAAAACAAGGAGGATTTCGAGAATCCAAGAAGCGGCTTTCTCATCAATGTTGTTCTCTTCCTCATGGAACAAAGTGATCGCCCCTGCTGCATCGATCAATGGGGAGCTAAGCCATTTAGCCGAGGTTCGATGAAATGCTCCAGCTCCCCATTGTCGCTGAGCATTGCAGTATGGAGACTTGACTGTGAAAGGTGGTTGGGGCAAGTGCTTCAGTCGCTGAACGGATTCCCTGTTATTGCTTCACGAGAGTTTCTTGTTCATCAATATGTGGGTTACAATCGAGTGGACTTGGGTGGCATCCAGCTGCGATCCACCCCTCCTTACATGTAGGTGCTGTTGATGATGACCTCTAGACGCTACACCTCGGGTGGTCGACCTCAACTCCAACGTTCTAGACTCGCTAGCTAGACTTGACAAGTCAAACTGATCTTTAGTTGGCTCGAGTTTACCGAATATGTGAGCTAATTTGGCACCGTAGGGAAGACATCAGAATTCGGCTGCGGAACAAGGCTGGTCGGCAGAGGGCTGGTAGCTCTGATTTCAGTACATTCGGAGGCTTCACAAAGGGATCAGATCCACCAAACTTACGGGAAACATCAAGACTGTGACTGACTCGGGACTTTCTACTCCCAGGGCTCGGGCAATCCACGTGAGGCTGTAACAGATTCGACAGTCTTGCCATTGGTTCTTATCTACGTGCCATGCAGCTATGTCTACTGTCGGTCAGCTGGATAAGTGCCGAACTGCGGCTTTTGCTCTCGAGTGCTTGCCATGCTGAATGGCCACTGCCAACTGCCCGTGCACGGCTCGGAGGACTGTCGGAGCTGCTGGAGCTGAGCAAGTGCGAGATGCAGACGATTCGCTGCCTTCGCGCTGCATGCTCGTCCTCGTGCACGACATCCTGCAGGGATCCGAATCGCACGGAAGGCATGCGATGCACGCCGAAGTTTCTCGGTCAGTGCCGCTGCGCATCGTTGCATGTCACAATGTCGTTGTCGTAGAATGCACGCCGTGGCAACGTTCAGCCGTGATCACGTTGAAGCGTTCGCTTGCTGACCACGTCGCTTCAGAAAGAGATCAACCCGGGCCGCCAGCTTGAACGAGTCCTCAACCTCAGCACGTGAAAGTGAAAGGCTTGGGCGGCTAGGGCCAGTGTGCTATAAATTCGCGAACATAAGCGCATCCAATCTTGTGACAAGACGCGGGGTCCGGAGTTGAAGCGGCTCCAGGATCAGCAGGGTCTCCCTTTTCGCAAAGTGAGGGTGAGATGTCGTGGCACGGCAAGTCTCCGGCACAGTCTTGCGGTGGCGGCGGTGGCGGTGTTGACGGTGATGGGAACGGCAGCATGTCCCGAAGCTCATCCAGAAGGTCATCGAGCTGGCCTGTGACTGCGACTGCGATGCAGCACTCAGCACTCTTGCACTACTCTTGCATTTCGACACGGGCATCTCCAGCCCAAGAGGGAGGAAGGAAAGCAGCTCCTCCGGCCTCGCTCGACGGTGTCACTCTCGTGCCTGGTCCTGTGTAGCCCATCCCACAACTGTTCGGGAGTGACCTGAGCAGGTTAGGCTGTTAGACTGGTTAGAGGTTCGGCTGACTCGTAAAGTCGTTAAAAGTCGTAAAGCCGAGACTCGTAGCTGCCAAGCGATGCGGCGGCCCGAGCTTCGACGTCGCTTCCGGCAATCCGTTCACCGGTGATGCTGTCGACACTCCCGTCGGTTCGGACAGATGCCAGCAAGGCGACGGCGTCGCC